GCAACCAACTAGCTAAGATCGGTCGAACCCTCATGTAACCCAACAAGGCAATTGTCCGCCGGTGCAGCTGAAAAAATATCTGGATGCCAGATGAAGTGGAATTGTTGGAGATAGTCAAAGAGCCTAGAAAGGCCAAACATACTTGCCCAACAAAACAATCGTTAAATAGCAGAAAAAAAGAGGGCATGTCTTGGACGTGCCTCTTCAGAACATGCCTTGGAGATTTGCAAAAAAAGAACAACTGCCTCTTCAGGATCTTGAAAAGCTCCAGGTGGTCGCACAGGAGGGCGGTGCCCAGCATCCACCATGTAGTCACCCAAAAAAATGGAGAAAGGATGATAAACGCTCATCGATTCTCTTGGGTGTGTCAGGTGTAGACCAAGCCTTGTCCATCTAGTAACATTGAGGTGCACCATTTGTCCAGCGAAAATCATCGCCTCGAGTTCGTCAAACCGCCCTCGAACATCCCCAACACCTCTGTTTTTCTCTTCGCACTGGGCCAAACAGCCTTCTGGCATGAACCACCGTGTCTCTCATGGGGAAGCAGCGAAAGTCTGGCGTTGGCCAACTGAAAATATGACGTTCAGCCGGCCAATAGTTTGAGTCAAAAGAAGCCCTGAACTAAGCACTGCAAACCTGCGCCACTTTGAAGAAGTGACAGCTGGTACTGCTTCCTTTCTCACCCTCGCTGCCGAACACTGAATGGCTAGATCTCTTGCGGTTGCTTTTCACCAAGGTCAGCATACACTAGGTTTGAGGGGGACACTCCGAAACCACCTGGTCGAAGACGACCATGTCTTTGTCTTGGGGATCCTCGCTTGAAAAATCCTATATGACCGAAACCTGGTCCTATGCGGGCGGGGTATACATGGAAAATCATTGGAATGGAGGCACACCCTCAGCCTCCTCGAAGGTATGGAAGAAGAACCATGACATGGTCTTTTTTGCCCACGGTTTGCTCGATGCATTCCCATGCGGCACATGCCAGCAGAATCAACAGCTCCGGAAGCCATAGAAGGATGAAGCTCACAGCCTGGTTGCTGTGATTTGATGCAACATTCTATGGGTGGCAATGAGCATGGACAGTCTAGCAGCCTCCCATCTCCTCTTGATGGGAATCCGATCTGGGGGAAGTCTTAGAAGGAGGGCAGCTGGACTTGAACCTTGGGAAAAAAAAGGGAAGGAACATTAAGAATCCTTTTTCAGAACTCTTCCTTGAAGAAGATTGGGGTTCTCCCCGGTCTTCGGTGTCCTTCCGACCCGACCAGAGAAACTCACATGATCTGTGAGATTTCACCACCGACCAAAAATCCACACATGAGAGCTGCCTGAGGTCTTACTGATCTCCAAACAAACAACGGTATCAAACACACCAAGATTGGAGACCTGTTGGAAGGCCTCCTGAGGGTGCTGGTACATGTATATTTACAGGCAGGGATAATGTATGTCTACTAATCAAATTTAGTCATAAGTTCTATAGATATATAGTTATATAGGTAGTTCCCCCTTGATTCCGAACGACAGTGAAGGTTCAGGTTGACGCCTCAATGAACCTATAGTGATGAGAGTGAGAACCATGTTCGACTGTTTCTGGGGATCTTGCCCATCGGTCACCAATCGGTACTACTATCAATAATATCATAGACTCTAGTCACTCTTGTCTAGTCACTCTTAGTGAATTTCTGACGGATCCCTTCGCTGAACGAACCATTTTGCGTGTGAACAAAGCATATCCGTGTGAACAGGGAACCGAAAAGACAGGGCTCACCCATCTGGCCTCCGGCTGTTCTCCGCTCCGAAGAGCTTCCCATCGACCGGCCACAGGTGGCCCAGGCGTTCGCCGGACCGCGACCGGTTCACCGGGGAATTCGCAGAACGAGATCCGCGGGGCGCTTGGAGGTTTTCTTGGATCTTCTTGGCGCTTATCTGGCAGGGAATCATGCCATCCAAATGTAGGCTTGTGACAAGGCATCTCGCTGTTTGTCGCTGCATGTGAACATGCGGTGAACTGCATGGTCTCGGTCCAGCCATTGACAGGAGCACACTCTGCAGCCATCACAACAACCCCTTAGCAGACTCCAATGTTCTCCAGATAGGACAACATTTTGGGCACACCTCGATTCCAGTGCGGAAATTCAGAGGTTGTACTTGTGTGTTTGTCCGTCTTTGTTATAACACAGCCACCGTCCACAAGTTCATTCTTGCCGTAACGCATACTCTTTGTGCTTAGACACCCGTGGCAAGTAGATGTAGGTAGGCCCAACCTTAATGTGATTTTGAATATTCTAACTGCATGTACTTAATTTTGGAATATTCTAACTGCTAGCCCGCCATGATAGCATGCTTTGCTGCACTTGACAAGAATGAAACCCCTACTGTTGCCACAAGTTCTGGACCAAAAACACTGGTCGGCAAAAACAATGACCGATGTTGTTTGGTTGACTTCAGCAACATGATTATCACTGTATCATCAGCACTGCATGATCAATGAACCATGCAGACTGATTGGTTTACTGGTTGGCTGGTACACAATCAACTCTTTGTTGCTCATGTGTTTGTCGACCAAAGGGAGAAATTATAAACATCCCCTGTTCAAAGAGCTACACTGTAAATACAAACAAGCCTTGTAAGTGCTTAGCTCCTCCTTCGGCCAAATAAATCGTTTGGACACATGGGGCTGTTGCAATGGATGGCAGGCGGGCACTCTTTCTATCCAACCAACTGAATCGGAAGCTTCCGATCGCTTGTTTGGTTTCAACACACAACCAACAACATTGACAATCGCATAAAGGATGCAATCTTCAAAACCTTGTGTCGCAGCATGAGGGAATCTCCGAACAGTGACTATACTTCTTCTGGGCATCTCCAGCATCTCCCTCCGCTGAGATGTGTGCATATCGTGAGTTCCTGTTCCAGTTGGTCGACTCAGCGTACATTAAGACTCCCTACTCCCTGCCCGATTTTGGACTGGTCACTAAACATGAGTCATGGGTCAACACAAGAATCTCCATAGGCTTGTCATCACTGTTGTGGCTCAGGAGGCAAACTTTCTGTTGGCTATTCTGCACCACCTGGAATCTAAAATCCCCCAGTGCCGCACATGTCTGCAGATTTGCTGCTGCCACGGTGTAGAATTTCATCCAACCATTGGAGTGCCAAGGGCACGAGTCAGGTTACAGGCATATGAGCATGTATATGTATATAACAATAACATTAATCCCGAGTACCTATTTCAAAAGCCTGCCCAATTAAGAAACACCACGTCCGAAACCCTAAATTCGGTATGGTTTGTATTTTGTATTTAAATTACGCCCTTTACTAAACTACCAACATGGTCGATTTTGGGGGTAGTTTTTTTTTATCAAGTTCCAAAAGCAAGCGTAACTGCCCACCTCTGTCCGCCCTGTGTATCCACCATGACACGCCGCGTTTACACCACCAGGTTTTCCTTCCCCCAATGGCACGGACTCATGCAAACGCACTTGCCACCGAGGTCGCGCAAAAAACCGCATGGCACAGTGACATCACCTTTCGAAAGCATTGGTTGTTAGTCTAATGAAGAATAAGTATTCCAATAGAGGTTTTTGTAGGGAAAGGAAGACCCTTCGATCTGGAGGTATGTTGAATTTTTGATACGAGTTTAATAAAGGATCTTATCTGGATGATTTTTTGGTGTTGAAGCTCTTCCCAGGTGACCCTGTTTTGGACCCCCCCGATTTCAGGGACCCCCTATTTCAAAAATGCGACCGAGTTTCTCTTAATAGGGGGGGGGCCGTGTTTTTAATAGGTGGACAGGATTATAATATATGAGCCATGGTCCAATGAGGTCAAAGTGTTCATCATGAATCCTTGGAATTTGAACCACAGGAGGGAGCTTTGCTCCAAAATCCTCGGTTCAGAACACACTCGGTATGTGGCTTCGTCTGTGGCACCGTCTACGGCGATGCCGGTGGCTCTACGCCGGACGATGCTGGCAGCCATGTCCATCCCCGACCCAGATAGTCCGGCCACAACTCATGATACTAGTATCCTCAAGTTCTTCCGCACAGCTTGCATCAACTAAAAATGGTTTGAGTGACCAGCCCAAAACCTCTCCCGCTTTTGGGGACATCCGGTCTGACGCCGAGTGCCGGGCACTCGAACAAGCTTCTGCCAATGGATCCGGAAAACGCTGCGAAGCAGTGTGCTTCGCTGCAATGCATGTCACGAAGCTACACATTGGAGATGCTGGTGGTGAAAACGCATCTCCAAGCTGTCAGTCGCGCACCCGCGTAGCATCACATTGTGGTCCTTCATGCCCCCCATTGACATCGCTTCATGTATGTTTGTATGATTAACAAATTGCTTGAGCCGACGACCCGACGGGCCGACGTAACTTGCTTTTGATGTCCAACAAAGCATCTGTCTGGCCAGTAGAAAAAGGCACTGTTCGCCAAAGAGATTGTCCAACAAAGTGTTTGTGCTTTTCGGTAAGGAATGTGTCCATGGGCCACTGGTGACGCCACATCCATGTGGGAGGCAAAACTTTTAACCCACTCACATGGACGTCTCAAAGGAAGGGAGCCCCGAGAACAATGATGCTTTCTTGGACCTCGCAAGCCTTCTGAAGCTGAGGATTTGGCATGCGGGTTCGAGGGCAATTCGCCATGGGATGTCCCCTCGCCAAAAATATTGGAAATTCACAAAGTAAATACGGTACAGATCGGTACAGTATTGTGATATATTGTGAATCCAATAAAATACAACTAACTTATAAAACAGTATCGAAAGACATGAACGTCATGAAAATAACATGCTATATATATATCAATACAATTTATATGTTTCCAGACTTCCTCAGCGACCAAGACTCACTACTCCATACCCACTTAGAAAAGATCCCTATCTAAATCGCCTAAAGGAAAACAACTTTCTCCGAAAACTACATTCAAGAATTCTCCAACAAAACTCTGCCCAGCATCCATCAACATCCCCTGTCCATGTTCCCATACGTTCTCCATGCTCCTCAGTCATGCTCTCCTGGGTTCTCTCACTTTGAGCATCGCTCGAAGGGCGGGCGCGACACCACCGGGTACATGTCACATACGTCACCCGCGGGGCGCTGCCGGCAGCGGCGGCACGAGGCTCGGCCGCAGCGCCGGCGCGGTCTTGCGGCGTTCGAGGACTTCCTGAAACGAAAAGCCGAAGACGGCGGGTGGTGAAAAACGATGGCTTGCCAAGTCGGATTTGGGGTGCCCCCCTTTTTTTTCGGCGAAGTGGGGTGGGTCGGATGGATGGATGGATGGATGGATGGTTTTAAATGCCAATCGATTATTGCAGGGATTGGTGGCTTTTGGAGATAAAAGGTGGTAAACCTGGGGGTTGGAGCTCCGAAATCTGTTTGAGCAGGAACTTTCACTAAATGATGATGTCAGTTAGCAATTGGACCAAGGGTGACCAACTCCCATTGGTGAGGTTTTCTGGGCGACATCTCTGAATTCATCCATGGATGTGGAGTGAAATTCTGAACACCACTTGTTTAGAATTTCTTCGGAAAATGATCATCCAAGGTTCCACGCCATCCACGTAGCTATGATTATTCCAAAAAAAGTGTAGGTGATGGCCGTTTCTCTTTGTGTTTGGTTGGCATAGACTCAAACATTGGCAGTTTGGAGCGCTGGGCGCTCGGTTTTGTTTTGTCGCAACATGGCGCAACGTTCTTTTGGCTCGAAGATTCACTGTGTGCTGCTGCTCTGTTGTTTTTGAGATATCTTCAGTGAGGCTTGCACAGCTGACTGTACGGCCCACAGCAGACCATTTGGACTAACAGTTTAACCTTAAAATGACATTGACCCTGGCCACACTGGTGTCGACTGCGAATACCCTTTCAATGAACACCCATGAAAGCTGTGGACAAATACAGTACAAAGTTTCCCTGACGTTCTTCAGGTGCAGGATTTTCTCCAAGAATTCCCAAGTGGCTCATCACTTTCAGTTGACTTGGTGCCATCACCGTATAGACTTAGTTTCATTCCCAATTAGTTGCGCTCGTGATCGCGCCGAGCATCTACCAGCTCTTGCCCCAAAGGGCTGTTGATCCCGGCAGAACCACCAACACCCACAAGGTTGGCACTGGAGCCTTTCTCCTTGGCAGTTGGCGGCCGCTGCGCAAACAAATGTGATGCATCCCACAAATGGTCAGGCGTTCAAACTGACTATGGTGGTTGTACGGCTCAAAGCTCAAAGGCCTTGGCAATCGGATAACATATGATAACATGAATCCCATTGTGCTGCTTCCAATCCCTTCTCCCGATGCTCTGGCCTACAAATCATGACGAGAAGCTGCGGTGGTTCTCAGGGTCTTCTGAAGCACAGCCCAATCAGCCCAATGAACAGGCAAGGTTTTGCGTGGGCAAGTTGTGTGTCGTGCATCGTTGCGTCTCCCCAGCCCTCAGGTAAACACCTAATTAATTACCACAATAATCCATAATATTTGGTGACTGCTGCAAACTTTAGGGTTGACTCATGCAATTCGATCTGAACTGGGTGTTGAATAAGGTAAGATTACCTCCCACCTCAAGCAAATAAGATAGCAATAAAAACAACAAAAAATAGACAGGCAAAAAATGGCCCATTCTCCCGGAAAGACCGCGGCCTCGCCGACCTCGCCACGAAAGAACCAAGTGTCCATGGCTTGCAGCTCTTCCATCAATGATGACTCAGGTGCTGCCACTGCGATCTCCCAACCCAAGCCACGCCCGCCGCTCGTCCCGCTCACGATGCTGACGAGATGGCTGCCTTAAGCTGGTGCGCCAAGCGCACTGTTGTTGGCGCCGGGTGGTTGGCGTGCCCGAGAACAGCATCGGGGTGAAATACATGAAGCTCAGATCAGTGATAGATCGGGTGGTGACTACATAGCTTAGCAAAACAACACTCAAATGTTTTATAAGAAGCTTTTGGGGTTTGGGACCACTCATTGTAGTTTCCTGTTGTTAGAGGGTGTTGCTTTATTCTGTTCTGGTAGGCAAGGATGCCTACAAATCATATTAAGTGTTCGTGTGTTGCTAGTACCCACCAAGAAGTATTTCTGCAATCCATGTACATAGCCTAGCCAACGAAAGAATATGGTCCAGCATGTTGGTACGTACCATGTTCTCAACATGTCTCCATTATGCACCTGGCTGGCATCATAAAACACAAGAATAACTGGTCTTTCCGAAAGTGAACACTTGAGAGGTGTCAATTTAAGGCCGGAACCTCACCCTTTAGTTGTATTGGATTTGAATGCATGCTGCATGACCCTTGGGCCATGGGGCGACTCCCAGCTCCGCTCAGCTCAGACCGGGCAACTCAAACTCACCCTTCACTTCCTTCGCCCCAGCTGAAAAAAACCTCATGAGTCATGAGACACACCAAATCCTTTCCTCCAAACAGACAAGCACCAACCGACCAGTACTGACCTGTTTATCACGACGCAGAAACTGGCCTCCTTTCTTTTGTGTGTTTGCTTTCTATTTTCTTCGCTTGTCCAGAAACCTGTTCCCGTCGCCCTCCCAAACCGTCCGCGGCGACCGGTGCTGAACCGTCAGACGGGGCGGGCGACGATGGTTCGGCGACGGGGCGTGCAACGAAGTCCGCCCAGCGGACTGGCGGGGCCGAGTGGCTGGTTGGGCGATCCCAGACCACTGCCACCTCCTCGTGGCTATGGAGATGCTCCAAGTCTTCGTCGCCCAGGAGACGAAGCTCAAGACCTCTGGGAGTGTGGAGAGGAGTGGTGTGTTTTGGGTGTGGAGAGGAGTGGTGCGTGGTTTGGCCTTTAGGATATCCGCTTGGTATTGGTGTGTGTGTGTGTCCACCCCTGGACAAAGGGTTTTCCACCACCACTCCTTACAGGCAGGGGGTGCAAGCAGCCCATCCAGTCTTGCACCAACGAAGACACTGGATGTGTGCTGGTGATATCGATTTGGGACGCCAAATCGACGTACCTGCGCCACAAACTGTTGCTCAAGCTTTTCCACTTCCGATTTGATTCATGGTGGTTTCACATGATACTTTCCCCGCCAACAGGTTTCCCACAGCCACTTTTGCAGCCGAGTTGCGCCGCTTCGTCACCGCAGTCAAGGGAAACAGCTTTTGTTCAAACACCTACAATTTTCTCGGACTTTCCGCCATGCTGTTCCACCGCCATTCTTCCCAACGTGGTAACTGAGTTCACTGAATACAAGTGTCAGAGTGTGACTGAGGATCCGTGGAAAGGAAGAGATCCAGAACAATACCCCTGAATTGCATGGTTTTCGAGGGGCGTGGTTCGTGAGTCTCTGACTCCCTCAGTTTCCCTTGAAAAAGAGGTCAACCTCTTTCCATCCAATCCCCAAAAAGTGTTTTTCAGGCTATCCACTGACTGGGTAGGGTCGTATATTCTAGGAATCAACATTGGTGTACTTTGTATGTGTTCGATAGCTCCAATGCCAGTTGTTATTTTTTTGTTTTTTCTGATCATGGATGCAGCCTGCAGCATCTGCAGCCTGGCGGCTTCATGGATTCTTTGGGTTCCGATCGGCACCCCAGAAGCCGTGTTGACCCATGAAGCTGTGTTGTTCGTCCCAAGAACATGGGACATGACCCGATCAAAAAAACGGGTTTAACAGAATTTAAAAAAGGACCCCCTAGTGAGGTGTCTAACCAGGGCGGGTGTCTATTCATAGTCGACTCTGCTCGACTGGGGGGTCAGTTGACTCTGCTCGACTCTGTCTGGTGCTCGGTCACGCCTCCGGCCAGAGGCCTGGCGATGTGAAAAATGAGAGATGATGCGAGGTTGCAGAGTTCAAGTATAGGTATAGGTAGGGTAGGGTAGGGTAGGTAGGTAGGTAGCCGGTCGGTTCCTAGCCAGGTAACATATGGTAGCATTCCAAGCTAGGTAGCGGGGATTTGGAACCAGGGAGATGGTAACCAGCTTGGCCCAAGGTCCGCGAGCCTATAGGGAGCGTTACTATCCCTTCCACATATTTCCCGCCCGGATGGGTCCCCCCAAAGGGAGAAACTAGAAACATCCTGCCTCAACATGAAGAATGTCTCCAGTGACGTTTTTCCAAACATAAAATTGCACATGCGGCACCAAGATGTACAAGTACCCTGCAGACTTGGGCAGTTCTGTCTGATGAAAAACGGCATGCAGCTGCAAGATGATTCCATCCTTTGTTTTTCCGGAGGACAACAAGTTCTCTTGAAGGCGAACAATTGGCAAAACTGACCAGCACTGACCAAGCGCCACACGAACCTTCTTTTTGGCAATCCGGTAACATGCTACGGTATGCTCCTAAGCCGAGCAAGTTTCGATGCCTCTAGGAACTCAGGCGACTGTGTACCCCAATGGAAACCCAAAGCCTTTATAACAGAGCTTTTTGCGCCGCTCCGCCGATCAAATTGGTTGCAAGCGGGGAGAATTCTGATCGAGTGCCGTTCGTGAAGCCATGTTTACTCTCGACTGTAAGTTGTGTCTTCATGTCTCCATCGTCAGGTTCTTTCCGCCTATGAAGCGAAGAGCTGCTCGACGGAGTGGTGCTCGCAGACCTGAGCCGTCTGCCGAACGAGTGGGACGGTTGATGACTTAACCTTGGTTCAAGCTTGGTGCATATGTGGTCTTCGCTCGCCATCCCGAACTGAGGACATTGGAATCAGGAAACACACAGGAATCTGGTTTGTTTCCTGTGATGGAAGTTGCAGCAATCTCTACACCGGAGAGTTTAGTTTTAAATGACCTCAAAAGGATTCAAAAGGGATTCGGTGCCTTGTTCAAATGGTCAGTCTTAGTTCTACCAGGGACAATGAATCCTTGTCACTGAGTGAACCCAGTCCCTCCAATGTGCTGAACCCACCAGGGATTGCAATCCTCCAGAATGCTGAATCTTGATTGATCACCTCAAATGCTAAATTCAATTGCAACGATCTTTAAGTCACGCATGAGTCTCCCGGCTCATGAACAACCTGGACGGTTTAAGGAAGAAGTGGTAGAGAGACAAAAACACATCTACTACCAGCACCCCTCTGACATAAAACTGCAAATTGCTCACGCTCCAAACAGAACACTCAGAGTCGTGGTTCGCTTCGCGTGACCACACCTCCCCCCCCGGCGCTCGACGTCGCAGTCATCAGTCGTTGCCAAGTCTCTCCAGAGTATCAGTCTCCTCCTAGTCATCTCACCGGCATCGGCATCCGGAGGGAAGGTCTACCGGGTCTACCGCTCAAAATGGCCCTTCTGCGTGAGCGAATTCGGTACACCGATGTGGAGGGGTTTTTCCGATTTCGGTTCGTTTGGTCGGATTGGTCGGTGGTTGAGAAAGAACCCCCCACGAAAGGCAACAAAGTCCGAGTCCGAAGTGCGCAGCATGGTACTGAGATGTATTGAGTCGTGAGGGCCCTGATAGGTTAAGTGTATCACACAAGCGAGTGTTCAAAGAAACATGGAATGGAACCCTTTCCCCAAACAACCCTTACCACCCCTTACCCCAAACCCTTAAAACAAATATGCACTCTGCCAAACAGACCAAGCCAACCTTGCCCATTGAACAAACCGATCAGATTTACTCATGGCCTTACCGGGACGAATCCTGGTGGAAGTGGAATGGCTTGGCCCCGAGTTCGGATCACAAATCCAAAGACTCAAACAGGGGGTGTACAAGCAGCATGCTCGAGTGATGACTTCAGTGCAGTGCAAATTGAGTGGCTTAGAAAATGTCACTGCGCGGACATGTAACTAAGTGAAGCAAGGTATTCCATTGCCACGCCGTCAAGTGCGGAAAATAGTCTACTGAGTCATACTGAGGTCACTGGTCCTACCATGTCCTAACCATCACCATGCCAAGCAGTTCTGGAATCCTGCAACAGTCAAGTTGTGTGTTCTTTATTTCTCAGGATCTGATTCACAGAACTCCTACCCCAGGAACCGTGCTCCTAGATCCCCAAACCGCCAGCATCTGACGTCCTCGGAGGGCAAGCGCAGCCAACAGGCCCGCCAAGGCGCAATCGGTGATCGCAGTAGCCACTGTCGTGGTACTGCGGAGCAGCGACGTGCGATTCGCGATCGCGGCGAGCGCGGCACGGAGCGCGGCACCTCGGGTTGTCGCGACTGGTTCGACGTCGGGAACAGCGGAGACCTTTGACCCGGTGCAGAAATTGGAGATGGATGGGGACGTTGGAAGTGAAGGGACGGTGTATGTAGATGTCCTCAATCTACCCAAAGAAAAAAACACCCCGCTGTGACACCATGGCGGCCATGGCCAGGATCTGACTCCTAGCGACTGCAACACGGCCACCAGTGTGGGACAGGCACATCTGGATGCATCTGAACATATCTGAACTAATTGCGCTTATTGTATAATATATTAAGCGCAATATATAGCAACATATCTAAACTTTTCGCATATTATCTAACGTATATGATCGTATGATATTGTATAGGGTGCTCCATGTTTCCACAAGCATGCAAGGGATGTGCCTAGAAATGGGACCTCTTGAACCCTCGGAATCCACATGCCTCGCCCGCCTATCCCAGACATCAATCTTTGGGGTGGGTTTGGATGCTGCTGCATCAGTTTCGTGTCTCTACCTTCTCAGGTTCAGTCACTGATCAGTCGACCGTGGCCGATATGTTCAGGAAGAAACACACACCTGCAATCACCTGGATTACCTCTACTGGTTTCGTGGGCAGACGGCTTTCCAATGCTTCTCAGAAGTTGGTCTGCTGAGTGGGGCTCGTGCTCATCTTTACTCTGGAACGGTTTCGTGGAGTGCACTGAGCCATCCATACGGGGAGTGTACCGCTGCCATCTCCGTCTGCCGCCTCTGCCGCTGGAGACGGCGAAGCTGGCTGCCTCAGGCTCCTGGTGGCACCCATGGGAGCAATGTGAAGAGTGCCTCTGTCGATTCTGTCGATTTGTTTATAAAGATATATATGTATATATATATAACTATAACATATATTAATATTACAGTATTAATTATAATGATTCAGAATTCACCCAAGTAGAAAAAACACCAAAGGTTGGAAACAAGAACGTTAAAGAACCCAAAGCAATTCAGAACATCCTCCTACCCGCTCCGACCAGTGATCACACTGAAAGAAATCCGTGCCTTTTTTCAGCACTCCCAACAATCTAGACTTGCTATTTCGGTCCCTGCAGCTCGTCTCCACCTCATCTGACCTCATACCACTTTCACCAATTCTCACTCATCTCCACCCAGTTCCCACCATCTGAAGACATTCCGAGTCTCGTCTTTACAGGAAGCGTTTCGCCGACCGGAGCTCCACCCGCGACGCAACGGCTCGTCCGGTCCACACCTGACCAGCCAGGACTGCTGCAGCACCCTGAACTAGCCTCATGTCAATCTGGACTGACATGGAGTGCACTGGACAGCCAAACTGATCACGGTTTGGTCCGCCCGAGAGCTCAGGCAGGAAAGAAGCAAAGAGCTTGACGTCCCAAGGTCCTCAACTGCGTGACCAGCATTTGTTTCGCTCGCACGTGTGTGCTGGAACTCAGTAAACAATAGCTTGCAGCTTGCAGAGTGCTAGGAGGATCTAGAAATTGGTCCCAGGTGCTTGTGTTTTTGGCAAGTCTGATCGAACCGGAGCTCGGTCTCATCTGAACCGGATGAAAAAACGGTAGCAACCGTCTTTTTCCGCTTGAGCTTCACGGTGAACCAAAATGTGTAGTTTAGTACAGTATATGTTTGTTTTTTAAATCCAGGAACAAGCTATATAGCTGGGGATCCAAGTACCTTCTCAAAAGGTGATTGGAGACACTGTTATGTAGGTGCCAGGAGGCTCCAAATACCTTCTGAGAAGATACTTGGATCCCTAGGGTATATAGCTGGTGGCTATTGATTCGCCTGCCACCAGTTCGCAAAGACAAGACCAGAATAGGCAACCAAGGGGGGAACACTCCAAAACTCTGAAAGGCCTTTTTGCTCATCACAGCCTTCCCAGCCACTCACTCCAGAGCCGTTTGCAAAACGTTGTATACCTGTTCAGATTCATGTTTAGTGGGGTGTCCCCAATATGCAAAGAAAGCTTTGCGGGTTCTCCACTTTTCCTGGGTAGGACACCATCAATCATCGCAATGAATGCATGTTTGCTCCGCTTCGATTTCTTTGCAGACTGGATCTGATCCATCCTCTAGGTGTCCAGCAGTACTATATGGCCCAAGCGTTGCTTGTCCTCGGCAGGCACCTGCAAACTCACGCTGTGCATTCAAATTTGGAGTACCCACCAAGTGGTTCTTAGGACTACCCTTCGACCCCACATAATCCACAAAAAAGGAAACAGGTATGCTTCACATGGTCTGACCAAAAAAGCAGAGAATCTGCTGATCTGCCAAAGTCAAGTCTAGGTCTACACCTGTGGGTCATTGCGGGTCCTCAGAATCCTCTTCTCAGTGGGTCACCAGATACCAATCGAAATCCAGATTGACACCCGACCAAGAAATGTGTCAGCGACACTGCGGGAGAGATCTGACCAAACTCCTCTTACAACAGTGTCCTCAGTGATCTCATTTGCGCAAATGTGTATCTCAGTATCTCATCTTAATAGGTCTTTGATGGTCTTTGTTTTCAGCGGTCTTCAAGAATTCCCTGATGTACACCTGCCCAACCATGAGATCCAGGAACCAGCGATTTCAGTGAACCACCACGTCTCAATCACCCAAAGAATGCCCTTCAAATGAGAAGGGCTTGCGTCAGTGGTCCGGACCCCTGCTATCCCGACCACGAGACCTTTTTCACTGTCGTCTGACTCTCTGAGTGGTCGTCTGGTCAACCTTCTTCGTCCCTTTTTTCCATTTGCCCGTCATGTCACAGAGTGGGGTTTTCCCCAATCCCGGTTCGGTTCTCCACGAAACGATTAGCCGGCGTTTCTTTCGTTTCGCGTTTCTTCACATCTTCACCCCACCGGCGAGCGAAGCCTCGTCAAGCTGCTTGGGATCCATGAACTTCGAGCAACAGAGCTCCCTCAAGCGCTGGTCGATCCTCATCCGCTCGTGGAAGAGGACATTAAAGGGGACGGAGAGGACCAGAGAGTGGGGTTGACCAATCTAAAAGGAAGGGTTTGGCTGGAGATGGAGTTGGGTCGGTTTGATGGTCTAAGGAGAAGGTGCGACAGGTCTAAGGTTTGATGAGGAGACCAACGTATTTTGTTCTGAATCAATCTGCAACAAATGTTGTCAGACTCAACAGGTGTCATGCAAGACATTGAACAAGACATTGAACCGTGCTCTTGAACAAACGCTCGGCCCCTGACCAAACAAGTGTAGCTTTGCCACCCAACATGAAGGTGTCGATAAAGTATAGAGACCAAAGAAGCGCTAGTGTTTGCAATCCTAGGAGACTTATGAAGAAGACACTTGTGTAATTTGAATTAATGTGATCCTTAAATATCTTGCCCTGCAAGCAAGAGAAATGCTGAGTTGTCCACATGTTCAAGAAGCTGTTGTGTGCCTGTCAGCTCTTGGGCATTTGGTTGTGACGGGGCACAAACTTGCAAGTCTTCTGATCACAAAGTTAGTGAAACTTCAAACTCTTGCAAATGGACTATAAACAATGGCATGATCCACTCTCATGGTCCGCTCGCGAACTTCGAAGCGGATGCACCATTGATATCATTTCATATCCAATGTCTAAGTCTATACTGTGCTCATGAAATATGTCAGGTCATTTCTCTTGTCAGCTTGATCTCCGTTGATCCGTTGATCCGTTCTCCGGCCTCGTGGCTCTGCGAGTGTGTCTTGAAGTCTGCCGCATCTGGCCGTTCGCGTGTTCGCACCGCGTGTGAACATGGTGCAGAACATGCTGCCCACGGTGCGGCCACGTCCGTCCCTGCGACGTGCGTGCGGAAACCCCCAAAGGCGGCCAAAAAAGAACATGGCAAACAGCTTCATAGGTTGCTGGAAAAACCACCATGCTTTATAGAAAAAGCACAAAAAGAAGAGTACTGTACCGGTACTTCCATATGCCATCGTCGTTCGTTTCACCCAAAGCTGGATGTTGGGGGTCGTGGCTTGGCCAGGCGGCCACATGTGCAAATCTCTGGGTGAGATGTTCAGCCCAGTTGCCAACAACAACCGGATCGGTGGTGAGAAAATCACCACCGATTCGACCTGCCGAGGCGTCGTAGCTGACGACCGTAAGAGAAGGACCGTCCGACATGGTGACCCTTCTTTCTCCGTGACGGAGTACGGGGCTGTTTGGACGACAGGTTACTGTTCATCACTGTTCTTGATACGATCTAGGCTGCTGGTCACCTATACAAAGCTTTCAACTGTCAAGTTCTTAGAATGCATCTTGGAGGAGTTGAGGAGTGAATCCCGGCAATTGGACCAGGCTTGATCATTGACATTCAATTCATTGACCCTCTTGCTGGATCTACCGGCGTTCTTGGCCCCCTGTTGCGTTGAGCGAAGGATTCCTGGATGCGGCGCCAAGTCAAGTGGTCATTGTCAGCAGTATCAGCGAGAAAAACCCATCTCTGGTATTGACAGCTGTTTCTGCGGTTTCTACTAGTAGTTTCCTATAGACCCCCGAAACCAGCTGTCTACTAGTGGGTGTCTATGGCGTAAGATCGGAAGAGAAGGCACCACGGATCACGCGCCAGCTTGACCATCGCGGATGGTGAGCAAATGCTCCAGGCACAAATGCCTGGACCAACGTCCGAGCCCATGTTCCGGGACACTTAGGATGTATTGCACCGCAAGGGACGCAGGTGGAGGGACACAGGGCCTTCTGTTCTCTTCTGTTCCCATGGTCTAAAATGTCGCACCCTAGACATCTCAGTTGTCCTACTCTATGAATCCGGGCCCGGACCAATTGAAAGGGCGTGCCTTTTTTTCGGGTCCGGACCCCTCTGTGTTTCGGTGAGACGACCAAAACCGACAGCTTCCTGGAAGCTCGTCGATTGCCGATCAATCATAAATACGCCCATTGACATTTGAAAGAGACTCCAGTTACCCTAGGTGTCTACATGACCTGCAGTCTTGGAGTGTAATTGGCAAAGAATTGAAGGTTGAAGCAGGTTACCGCCGACCCCACTCACCTTGCTTGAACAAATAGATTGCTTGGTTCATAATCTTGGACGCCGTCAAAAACTGTCATCAAGTTTAGTCTGTCGGGTTTTGGGAGGATGGGGTGCAAATGCTTCGCAGGAGACCTGGCGCCGAACTCAGGGTCAGCCTTCTTCACGTTGCGAGCTACGAAAACCTAAAAAGGAACTCGAGCGCTAGCAGAACGGCTTCCGCCCGACGCAAAAAAGAGCGCAACAACAAGTGCGCTGCCCTCGCCTAATGTCCCGCTGCGCTGCGGACACGTCCGAGGGCAAAGAAGTTTGAAGCTCGAGCTGCCGGGCGGTCGCCGAGCGGGGGGGCAACGGAGCGAGGCAGCTCGACCAGTCAGGGTGAGGCCCTCCTGTTGCCTGGAATGCCTTCAAATGATTTACCCGTCCTGTCGTGGTTTGTTTGGTCGGTTTAGACACACAGCCAATCACAGCCACATGTTAAATAGGGTTTTAGGGACCACCATCTTAGTTGTCTGTAATTACTGTACTCAAGAGTATTCTCTGCACATTGCTTGTAAGTGACAAGGTCATTTAGTGGTGTATCTTGTGATACGTTCTGTGATACGTTCTGTGATAAAGTTTGATCAAGTGATTGTGATTATGCCAATGTCCAACTCCGGCCAAACCAACGCCTTGGCCGCCTCACAAAAAGAGATCCATAAGAACTTGCATGTTGGGGCCTGTTCTCTGCTTGAGGACATCTCTCAATTGGATGAAATGGATCCGTAATGAATCCGTGGCTCCAGTTCAACAAATCAATTCAATGGGATGTCCAGAAGCCGCCACCATTTTCCCTGAACAGGATGTCTGCTTTTCTCCCCCCCCCCCCACATCATGTGTTTTCCGGTTTTAACATGTTTAAACCCCAACATACATCAGCTGGATGTCCGGACCAGAGACGACCGGACAGGCGCTGGGTGGCCAGCCCCCCCAAGCGGTTCCGGACCGCCGACGGGCAGAATTCACTCCTTCCCCCCGACTCTTCGGAACCGAGTTCAGCCGCGGTTCGGCCCTTCGCGAAGGCGCCTGCTGGGAGAGCAGACGCTTGAAAAAGGACTGAGCGCTACCGAGTAGCATCGGAGATCCATTGGGCCTTCGACGAAAGCGGGACATCCTCCGCTCAGCTCTCGCCGTTCGCAGAAATTCGGCGACGAAAGGCATCGGATGACAGGTAACAAGGAGGCGGAAACTGATATTGGGCGTCAAAGGTATATGGTTCCAAGACACACCCGGGTGTGTTCTGGCAGGTTGTCACCTGAGGTCGCCCAGCATTGGACTGAAAAAGATTGGCCGAGAAAGGCGGCCAAACTGCCTGGGTGCCATCGTCTGCGCAAAAAGATCAACAAACCATATATCATAAATCTATCACTACCATAATCTATCTTAAAGCATCAGCCAGGCGGTAACTCCGGACCCACATGGTGTCACTGGGTAGGCCATGAGCGAGACTTGATTTGAAGCAGTGTCTTTCAAAGCTAAACACCTCACACCTCCTCAATCAGAGCTGAGGATCGTGAGGATGAAATCGGATGAATGAACATCGTCCCCGCCCCAGCAACGGAATTTGCCCTAACTATATAACCAACTCACCAACCTGGATTGAGCTATCCACCCCCACCCCCCCAGATCCGTCGCTTCCAGCCCTAACCCATCAGATCCCACAACACCGTGCCCCAAGTGGCCGCTTCGGCAAGGGCGGTAGCTCACACACCTGCCCCAACGCTCGACTCGCAGTAATGGGGGGCGCGTTTGTTCAGCGGGTGCACGGGGTCTGTTCGACGCGAAAGGAGTTTCTGCAACGAAACCAGCGTTGACGAAGATCCACCTATGTTGTCCCGTTGAGACACTGCACTGCTGTTGAAAAAACATGACAACCAGCTCAGAACAGGCGGTTCCTGAAACACAAAAGCCAAACAACTGCAAGAAACCAAGTAACTGCTATCTCAGTCTGCATCACTTCTGCATCACTTCTACATGCTCAAACATCCCTCCGCCATCCTCCGCGAACCCCCCATGTCCCCAATTTTATGCGACCGCTCTGCTGGACGAGCGCTTTTGGTTGAGCGCTGGACCGGCTGGTCAGGTGGTGAGTTCAGAGATCAAGGCTCGATGTTGCTCCTGGACGCGGATGTTTTGGGCTCGATGAGTGACGTGGAAGTCTGAGGACCCCTCCAGTGGATGGAAGTTTCTTCCTCTTCACCTGCAGGTGACGGAAATATATGCAAGTATGCACAGGAATACCTGCGTTGCTTACAAGGATTTCTTCCATGAAGAGTAAGGATCCACGGACGTTACCTCCTGCTTTCGAATATAGTGGGATCCATATGGGCACTGCACGAGGTTCGAACCCTTCAATCCCAAGCAGTTTGCCGAAACAGCTGCGCACACCCAGTCCACGGAGTCTTGTTGCTTAGTCCAGCGCTCTGACTGAAGCGGCTTCCAGACACTGAAGCAGGATATTGCAGGTGCTTAAAAGATGAACCAACTGCATTGGAGGACCAACTGCAATGGAGGACCCAAGAACCAACTGCATTGGAGGACCCAACATACTTTGTGTAATTGAACCAACTGCATTGGAGGACCCTTTCGATTGTACACAAAGGTTGATGGACCAACCGACCGACCATGATATATAGAAGGATGGATTGATGGACCCTTTCATCTCTGAGATCTGAGGCTGGATCCATGAAGAATTTGATGTCAAAGACCTTATAACCTACAAGTCAGACCTCACTTGACAGGAGATTGTCATACAAAACCAATACTTAAGGAGGCAAAAGACCAGGTTTTACTGGGTCAGACTGGACTTGTAGGGTTAGGATGCTTTAGGACCTTTGAGGGAGTGGGCAACTGGGAACACTTGAGGAAACCTGTACCTGGACCTAGCTCCGAAATCGACTCCAATTCCCCAAACCCATCCACCCTGACCTTCACCGGCCTTCAGCCTCTTAAAGAAAAAAACAACCAAACGGGGTCTCCACCGGGCCACACCTTTAATGCGCACACAGGATTAAGCAACCCCCCCTTATTCATCAAGCCCAGCTGGAGCCTCCAATACTAAACGAATTAAAACCCTGCAACCTTTCTCTGATAATTTGTGTTCCTTGCCAGAACCCACCTATATATTAATCAAGCCCAGCTGCCCCAGAAAAACAAATATATATATATATAGTTGTTTATTGATATGTTCTTTTTGGCTAGTTTCCAATATCTTCTGGTCCATGGTGAAACTGATCTTCTGATCCACCGTTGTCTCATGCCAGATAGCATTTCCATCCTTCCCTGTTAAAACACAAAAAACTCACTAGCAAAATTCTTTCATTTTCCCTTATTAAAACTCTATCAAAATCTTAAGGTGTTCAAGCTCACAAAGGGTACCCCCCTCACACAAGCCCTACCTCCCTCTAATAGTAGGGCCCCTCCCCCTATTCCCTCTGGCCTCCATCTTGTCTTCAATCTCTTTCATCCTGCAATCCTCTTTCTTTTCCTCATCATCCCAATCAACCATCATCAGGACCAGTTCCTCATCTCATCATGCATCATCAGGTCATCATCTTTATTAAGGGGATGTGGTCTCCAATCCCTCCAATCCCAGACCTTGTTGACCTTGTTGACCTTGAAGGGGGGGTTGATTAATCCGGTGTTGGCATTACGCCTTTCGATGCCTTTCGCATCATGCTCGCTGTTTCATTGCCTGGCAAGCGCGGGGACCGTCTCCTGCTGCTGCGTGTGGTATTCCTCGCCCTTCAAGACACCGATATGCTCCAGCCCCAGCACCGTCCTTCCACCGCTGGACGCAAATCGACGCGGATGCGGCTGCATTTGGCTCCCCCCGCGGCGCACCAAAAAATAACCGGCAGGTGCGCTACACCGATGATGTTCTCCGAAAAGAAAGGGTGGAACACAGACATCTGCAAATGTAAAGCCTCTTCAGGCAGGAGGGTGTTTGATTATGGCATGTTCATATTTTATGTGTCAAGAGTCTACATTGTCATTGCATTTGCACTGCATGGCACTGCCGAAAGCAAGGTCCCCGTTGGCCCAGTGGCTTACTTTTGCTTGGGGCCAGTGGACAAATGATTGCACGATCAGAAGTTGAAGGCGTTAAACATGAGTTGGCACAGGGCACAACCCGTTGGCCCACCTACGAGTAGTACCAGACGTCGGTGACCCAAACGTCTATGGTCAGCACCTGATCCCGAATCAAACACCAATGTAATCCCAAATTCACAACAATATGGTTTTAAGAGATAATCATCATCTCTTTGATCTGCATCCAGCGCCAGAGATCATACATGATAATGGTGTATGTCTTGTGAACAAAAAACAAGAATTGAGGACGCACACGTGCAGTCCGTTCAAGACCCCAAAGAAAGGATTCTGACAGTGCTCCAATCTTGGGTGCCTGATCCATTTAGGGGGCACTGTGTTGTCAATCCGTGTCCGATCTTGGGAATTCAGGTGAATTTCGTCTGAAAGCAAGCAAAATCCGTCGCTGTGCTTGTGTATCTCGTTGATGCTTGTTGCATACGCAGGTGGAAAAAACGATGGAGACCAACCTCAACCTCATCCTCCTCTTGCTTTGAACATGAAGACCCAACACCAAAGCCATCCAAAACCCCCCCGCACCTCCCCGTCCCGGCTGCTCGGCCTCCGTCGCAGCAGCTTTGCTGGTTGGGAGCTCGTGGCTAAGGTCCTCGTCAAGTCGGGGCGCCAGGGGTCCGTCCGTGGATGGAAACCCCTTTTTGAAAAGGAAAGTGGTCTTCCTTTTTGGAAACATGCCATCCACGTAACGGTTACGATGCGTTCGCTACAAGGGGATCTGGTCTCCTTGATCTTGGGTTGACACGAAACTGGGCCCATGGTGAACATTACGGCCATGGCATTGGGTTGAATGTCGTTGGGTAGGTGTTCAGGACACCGACATATTTGTACTTCGACCATCCCAAATACCAGGGAGATTACCCAGTTCCATGTGATTCCAATGATTGCATCAGAATGGGTTAATGGCGACTGTTTATTGATAAAATCCCTCCGTCCTACCAGAATGGATTTACGTTCTTTTTTGAGTAAATCAAGTCAACATTATATAATACTATATTGCTATTGTGTTCATCATTATACTTAATGTATGTTTTTGTAGAATCATACTATATATACAATATAGTTAACTTTGTCCTTGAACTGAAAGGGATGCACTCAACCAGCAAACGAGATGCTCATCGGCTGTCTCAACAATGTGGTCAAAAAATCTTGATCAGGAAATACTGGATGTCCATATAGTTTTGTAAGTCGTTTATCCTGTTTCGAGACACATGCGAAAGCGTAGTCATTTCTGTCACACTTAGGGTGTGAAACCCACAGCAATCACCTCACATCCACAGCAACCACGTCTCACACCGACCGAAAGCCTGAGGTTCTCGTAACTGGCTTCCAAATTAAAACCAAAACATCCAGTTCGCGGAAACTGCCTTCCACAGCAACATCAGCAACACACTCCGGATCTTCCGATAATTTCCTCAATCGCTGGAATGTTTTCCACATCAACCCCTCCAACTCCACACACACAACCAACCATCTCTCGGAGATCCGCTCTCGGTGATCCCGCGTGACCCCCCAGCGGTCTCGCTATCGGCCACTTTGAAGTGTCCGATCAGAAGGCCAATCCTGTCTCGCTGGGCCGGGGCCGAAACGACGAACGAACGAAGGACGACGAACGAAACGGTGGGCTTTCACGAGGTGATCCGACGTTGTGGCCGTTCCAAGTCGTTGTGGGTAGTCGTTGTCTTTCTACACATTGGCAAACGGTTTTTTTCAATGGAACATGTCTAGATAGACAATGAACTGTTCTTGTTGCAGTCAGTCAGAGTCTGGTTTCTGTTGCATTCTATTTGATGTCTGAGACAGTTCTTGGAGCTTTGTCGGGCCCTGGCTGCAGTAATTAATTAAGAGGGTCTATCATGGTCTGCACCTCGCGTGAACCTGGCCAGATGCTGGTTCACAAATCTAAGTGTCTGACGTCAGGACCGCCGCAATGATAAACATGAATTCCATAATCCTCAGCCGGTCCCCCCGGTGGAAGAAAAAGCCCAAGCCGCGGACGCACGGCTTCCCACATCGGACCGGCTTGCTAGCCGCGTTTTCGCCGAAAAGAGCGGACGGAATCTGATCCCGGTTCGACACCGGTGTGGTCACACTACTACCGGTGCTGAACCCCGTTCGTGTGACCACAGTGTTTAGGGGAAAAGAAGCACATCGCAACATCGCATGTTCCTTCACCCTTTAGGCCTTTGGATGTGGGAAAACTTGAGCCTAATGGGACTGGAAGACAATAGCTTCATCCTGGAGACCTTGTCATCGATTATGTTGGGCCCATCGGTTGTTCAGTCCACAGGTCCCAAACAAAAATTACGAATACACAAATGTAAACTTCGCAAGATATAGCGACCCGTTCTCCTGCAGGTGCAGAACATGCTGGTCGAGCCTATCTAGCCTATCTGATCTCTCTCTGTGCTTTCATTGGTTGCATGCCAAACAGACCTTTATCGTTTGACCGCTTCAACGGTTCGACTGGGTTGAAACCCAATGAAAAACCGCACTATACCACCCCGGACTAGGCGAGCATCCCCAGGCGAGCAAGGCATCCACGTGTGATCTTTTGAAGGTATACTTGTACTTGTTTTCTACGTGTTTCTATATGTTTTTACTTGTACTTATTTCATCTTATTTCTACTTGCATCACCAGCTAAACATCAGGATTGCTGCTGGTCAAACCGGCGAGGGTGAGCTAAACAGTTCTACCACTCTTGCCATCTAGGTTGAAATGAACTGAGGTCTTTGCTATATCAAGCAAAAGAAATCAAGACCTAGCGAAGATCCCTTGACAATTGAGTTTTCAAACACCGGTGCTGTAGCGGCCACAACGACTCCATGTACAACCAAGGATCCCGGGCCACTTCAACTACCAGTACTGCAAGAATCTACTGCATGCATGGTGTGGCCCTGTTGAACAACAATCTTGAACGTGGGATCCAAGAAACCACTTCACTCCCAAACCAGGAATCCTCGGGGTAGTCTCGTAGTCCTCCAAAATCTGGAGCCATAGTAAACACTCTAGTTCTCATGTCTTGTGCCTCATCCCGGCTCATTTTAAGGTCGATTTTCCCATGCAACGGAGGACACAATGCTCCCACTGCTTCAAACATAGGTGCATGGTACAACGCTGAGGGCAACACAGTGGCTCAACAGGGACCAAATGCCACGAAGTCTGACTGTATTGCTTCACACCACCAGGCTGAAAAAAAACACATCATGGAAACAAAAATCAAATTACAACATCGAAGCAGGCATGAACAAAAACCAACTGTATATGAACCCAAACTGTATGAAACCTCTGGCTCCCATCAAAAACAATTTCATGCTTGCAAAACTGCTACTATCAGCAAGTGACTTCCACCATGCGGCAAACCAATCTTGCTGGGACACCAATACACGAGGTCAGCCGAGGTACAAATCACGTAGCCACACGAGCCACGTGTAGCTGTGCCCACGATGTTTGAAGCCACTCTTGTAGCCGTCCTGAAGAGGTCGTGGTCGGGTCCCCTTGGGCGCTACTCTTCAGGCCTACAGGCGAATTCTCGAACAAAGACACCAACATGCATTTGGATATTCCATGCTCCTTGTTGAGTCGTTACGGGCGTCGCTTGATATATCCTGCAACAGCAAGTGAAGTGATAAAAAGGCATGTCTGACCCACAAAGCAAGCACACTCAGCTGCACGCAGTGCAGCGCGCCTGCCTGCGCCTGCTTTAAGTGGAGAACAAACATGGAAGTAAAGCTAAGTTGATGACCCGCCAAGCATTGACATTTGGTGAATCCTCGTGGTGAAAACCTCTTTTGTGAACCAATGATTGCATCTCTTTGACAAAGTCCCTGACATGTGGACTCACCCTTGACCCCCAAAAAGCCACGCTTTGGACAGTTCACGAACGAAAGTGTCGACTGTTCTATTTTGCTTGACCCTAGCAATATGGGTCTGCGTCATATACAGAGAAACCCCGCATAGAATGTGCCTGCAGGAAAGTCAACAGGGAAAGTGCATTATTTATACCTAGCAGCCAACGGGTTCCTAATGGAGACCTGTAAGTAGGGTAGGGTAGTCTATTGGACACCCATTGGATGATCCTGGTATACATTATATATATATATATGCAATATACATGTTCCAAACAAAAGGCTTTTCTTCAGATTGTCCGGTCGAACAACATCCAATGAACCGACTGTTTGTGCTCAGTGTCCTCATAGCCCTTCTCGTAGGCCTTCTGCCCCTCTTGGGCCACATCATTCGCCAGTCGTTTGCACTCCTCCTGCGGAACTTGGTTCAACTCGTGACATAACTACAGGCAGTGACAGGTAGAATAGTCGGTGATCATTCCTTAAGCAATAAAATTGTATAACGGGACTGGACAACGAATTCAGACTGAACTCTGAATGATTGACTGCTTTTAACGGACAAAGATCCACACAATTCAATCATCTGAACCCCGAACACCTTAGCAAGATATGGTTTGTTCCTGTTCATGATCTCTAGATAATAATTTACCCTCTTGTTTACAGAGGCCTGAAAATGACACACATATTGCACAAAACACAAGTTGGATGGTTGCTTTGTGATTTCTGAAACTATACTTCAAACCTTGGCATAACACATGGCATTGACGTATTGGAGAGGACGTCGAACACAGTGAGATTCCCTGCTCTTGACATACCCCAAAGAACCAACGAAAGCACCAACGTCATCCAACATGGATAGACATGGTTTGCCCATCCACAGGGTTTGGGGTCTCTCCATCGGGCTGCGAATCGGACGGACTGGAGAACCGGAGAACAGTCAAAGTGAGGACTAGCGGTCACATGGGACAAACCAGGTTACCAGCTTGACCAGGGCACAAGGTTTGCCAAATGGGAGGGAAATACACCAAATGAAATAGTCAATTCATCTGCTTCTCATAATTTCTGCCAAGGCACCTTCGCAAGTCTTAGTGTGGCTACTGAGGTGACTTTGGAACTTCTGGCACCCTTCCAACAAAAACAAGTGCAGGATCCACTGGATCTACACTCGAAACAATCATGGAAGTGGAATGAAAACCATCTGTTTGCCCAGACGCTCCGTTCACCAGCCCTACTTCCGGTCCCGAACCAGTTCCCGATCGGGATGACTTCGACCCGGTCCGACCCCTGACCAGTTCGGATTCGGGTCCGACACCTCCAGAGGATTCGGGGCCGACCCCTCTCGGGTCGCGTCGTTCGGCCACGGTTGGGCCGAATGGTTTGGTCGAACCACACGGACTGCGTCCTGCAGGTGGTTCCCCCACCTACGAGAGACCCGCCCTTTTTTCGGTGCTGAACCCGTTTCCACCCCGGGGAACACGCGGTCGGTGCTTGTCTGTCCGGTCATCGCATATTGCCAGACACCGGCACGTGATAGTCATCATGGGCAGACCGTGCCACCGGAACCGCCGACCGCTGAATTTCTTCCCGCACCAAACCGAAAAACCAAGCGCAGACGGACCGTCGAAGCGACCACTCCTTCGCCTCTGTCTGCCCATCCAGGTAGCACTGTCGCGACTCGCCGAAACTGAAGCAGGGCCGCGAGGGAATGAGTTCGTGTCACGGAAAAAATGGTGGATTTGGGATACGAAAAATGTCTCACATTGTGAGATTTGACTTGTGACTCCTTGTGACTGTTTCTGGATGTCCATTGATGTCCATCCATTTCAAACCTGGTAGGTCGGTTCAGCGTGTGTTGCTGCCTCGCAGATTGAAAAGCTTAAGGAACATGGTTGCAAGAAGCCACCTGGATCTCTGGTTGCAAAGAAACATTTCAGGCGTCCGATGGTGTCGCTTTTAGGTGCTCCCCGAATCATGCCGAAGCTTAACTCTTGTCGGTTTCAGCTTCTTGTATAATTGCCAACCATCTGGTGAACCTTGCAGCCTATGGGTGAACCTTGCAGCTCTGGTCAACCAGAAAATACAACACTCTGCACGGGTGGGTTGTTTCCTAACAGAATGGATCTGTATGCATGCGAGAGCATGGGTGCTTAGCCTATGATATCCACCATCGGCCAGCATGGCCAGAATCTCCAGTCTGGCTATGTCTGGCTCGCCAGCATGAGGATGTGAAAAATACTCTGTCAGGCCTGCAGTCACCACAGCCATGTAGCGTGACTGCACAAAGCAAGGTCAACGCGGTCGTTGTTGTGACAGCGATCTGACGGTATGCCATGGCGGCAGCGCTGCTCAGCTGATGTCGTTCCCAAGGGCGGAGAAAGGGGAAGTGTTGTTGTTCATGTGTTTGAAAGAAACGATGTTTCGTAGTCCCTCTGAGTAAATGAGCAACCTCCGACTATAAAAGATAAGTGAAGCGGAGATAGGAAGGAGATATACGGGGTTCTATGTGAATCATTGAAAGAACAGGTCCTTCAAATGTGTTGGACATGTGAAAACGTCCTCGACACCCGGGTTATGAACAACTTCCAGGTGGTTGTGAGGTTGTCTGGCCACTCATACGTCGGAAATGGCCAATGCCACTGGCCATGGACAATACTAAGCCAAGACCAAAACAAGTTGGAGGCATATGCAACAAGCAATGGGGGAATGCTCTTCTTGGAGTTTAAGCCTGCAGTGTATTTACGTCTATACATATATTATATATAATCTATTATGATGCAAGATCTTGAAAAGAAAAAGATTGGCAAATGCAACACTAGTCATTCTAGTCTTTCCTTCCCAACCAGGATCCATGTACAGCTTGCCGAGCCAAAGTGGCAGGACGCGATATCTGACGTGCATGCCAAGTTGGAAGACGCCAAGCGTTCGATCGTCCAAATATAAAACTGAAGCGACAAGGTTTGAGATATGTCTTTGGAGAAATAGCTTGAGAATCCTGTTTGCAAATCTACCTACCAAACCACCAAAGGCCACTCTCCAAATAGCCTGTTTGCATCTGCACGCCTAAAAACCGACGTTGAGCTTTCTGGGCTACCCTTAATAACTAGTGTCAACTAGCAAATCAACTTCTTCAGAAGGAAACGATATGAAAAGATGAGTCCGAGAAAACCACCCAGTCACTCACTGACGACAGTTCACCAGACACTCAAACAATGCCAAAACAGGTTTTACATGAGATGTTCCCACCCAAAAATAGGAACCCAAAGAACTTGGAAATAGGGTCTTACACTGCTCCTGCCAACCACTTCCGGTTCCAACAATGCATACCAATAGGATTCGCGTCTGGTCTTCCTTGCTTTGAGCCCCCAACCAGCAAGACGATATCATTCCCTGGAAATCAGAGGTGGAGTGATTTCACCCCCTGTGTGGCAGCTACAGGATTCGGATTGATTAGAAGGTCTTCCGCACATGGTGGGGACAGGGACTATGATACTTGTATATAGCAAATAAATCACCAAATGGGTTTGCATCATCAGTTTCAATCGGTTTTATATGGTTTCATTATATACTGCACTGCGGATCAGGAACCTGCCTCCGCGGCCCAGCGCCGACGCAGGACCCGCACACCGCTCTTGACGACCTGATTCGTGGTCCAGAGGGTGAATGGTGCGTTGAGGTACCTCTGTTGCAGTATCAAAGAAAGAAGGCCTTAGCAAAGGAGTGTTGAGCCATAAAAGCCTCTGTCATGTTTAAAGGCGCAACATGAAGATGCTTGCTGGCACATCTGAAATGGGATGCACTGTTTGTTTGCTTTGGGTCCTTTGCTAAATTAAAGCATGCTTTTGTCACCAGCCAGTTTCTCAAGGAGAGAAGATAAGATCGCATCCTAAATAGCTGCAAAGATCTCACAGGTGGCATTCAATTTCAATTCACAAACTCATTGTTCAATTAAGACCTTTTGAGTTGGTGTATTTACAGCTCCCGGTTATCACGCTCATTTGCTCGCATGAAGTCAACAAACATGTTTAGACTTGACAATATGTGTGTTTACAACACGGCCGTGTTTTTGAGTCCATGAGTCCGCCAGTCGTTGCGTTGTTCTTGCTTCGGCATCAAAACCGCCGCCGGTACGCGCCGGTACGCGCCGGTACGCGCCCGAGCGCCCGAGCGCGATGCTCGGCAATTTCCTCGGAGGAGGGTCCCGGGTCCGACCAACCCGATCGAAATGGTCCACTTTTGGTGCCCAAAATCCGATGAAATCCCGTCTGCAGACGTGTTTTTGTGTGTTGCTTGGTGGGGAAAGCACCAAAAAGCTGGTTCCGACTGTGTGACTTTCAATAAGAATGGGGAATTGGCACCCATCCTCCCAGTCCTTCCCCCCAGCGACGTACAGAACATCAGAAAAACAGCCCGGCTGCGCCATGCGCCCACTGACCTATGCCCCTTGTGACGTACCAGGCTGGAAACTGGCCCGGCTTGGGGAGAGAGAGAGAGAGAGATATATATATATATATATTGTACCTTGTTACTAGTAGCGATGCCCTTGTTCCGTTCGTAGCGTCCTCTTGCTCCTAGTAAGGCCAGGCCAGAGCCCCTTGACATAGGCGTCCGATCGTCTCCGAGAGGGACAGATACATATTCGTTCGCTTCCAGCAGTTGAACCCCGACGAACCGATCAGCTCGAACCGATCACCTGAACGACTCCACATGGTGGAGAAACAGACTCCTCCCAAGCGGAAGCGGGAATTTGCAACGGAAGCAACGGAAGCAACGGAAAAGCAAGCTCTTTTTTAGTAACATGTACACGAAACCATGGCTTGTTGGGAAAAGTTCCTACGCAACGGTCGAAGTGCAAAACTACGACGGCCTGAATTTCTTAAACGTGATGACCTCATCTTCGCATACCCTATCATCGTTTCTGCGATTGTTGACCTAATGGCCTACCGGTTTGTATCACTTTCTTACTTGATTCCTGTTGATTCTGATTTCTGTCGCTGCCCTCACACATGTCAGTTCTCGGCCATCTGGAATTGCCTCTGTTGAGAGCCACCTTGTTTGGAAAGTCATTGGAAGGGATAGGGTTTTGTAGAAACTCGTCCATCCGTTCACAATCTTCAGCAAATCCGAAGGGTACGAGTATCTTATCGACCGGTGCAAGGTTAAAGACTCACAAAATGTGGCTCCAACAAATGCCAAGCTGCTTCCAGTCTAAGTCGAGGACGACCTGCGAAAACAAGGGCATGCAAGTAGAATTGATAGCCTATTGCTGTGCTCAGGAAAATAACGTGTATACTGTATACATATATATGCGGCGGCATTTATTTGGTACTAAACTGAAATACACCATGTATTATGTGGGGCCCTATCTGGTTTAGACTATATACTAATTAAGATTATTTAAGTAGGATGTCATGTCACAGTATCTCGTTCAGACTACTTTAGTAGCAAATCACACTATCTCGTTCAGACTACTTTAGTGTCATCAAGCAAAAAAACTCGTTTACGTGGGGGCCCTATCTCGTTCACAAGCGAATGCTGATAATAGACAAGCAAATAGAGCATGCCATAGACTACTTGAGTAAAGCCTAAATAGAGAGAGAGAGAGTGACATGCACAAAATCATGCACATCGTCGTCACATTGGACACCCAAAACCAACACATCGCTCCTAAAATCATGCACATCATCGTCACATGTCTCCTGAACTCTTCTGAACGGAGCGATCGGACGCCGGCAAACACGGGGCGACGTCGAAAGGGCGAAGTCTCGGTCATCGATGAAAACACACCGGTGACGGTGACCGGGCACCCCAAAGAAGAGGTTTTAAGGGTATGAACATGGCGCAAACAAAAGGAAGATGGGACCTGATGGCACTAGTTGATGCCTTGATACTTACAAGCATCTATGGAGATTATTCTGAAGTAGGTGGAAGAGGGGAAAATCCCAAACCAATGGACATCTGATCACGTTTTAAGAATCTATATACCAGGACCATCCAATGGGTATCCAATGGACTACCATACCCGACTTATAGGTCTCCATTGGGCACCCATTGGAAGTGCTATAGGTACATTTTATGATGGTGTACAAGTATCATATTCATTCATATTCTGTCTGCTCCAGGATGGTTCTAGATCAGTGGCAGGAACTTCTGGAAGCACCCCAGATTCGCTGGACTCTCTGCTGAGGAGCTTGGTACATCTTGGCGGGAAGGTACCCAGCTTGATCTGAACTTGGAAGCTCCATAACCCTGAGACCCCTACCATAGAGCTGGAACACCACGTCAGACTCTCAACAAACTCTTCCAAAAACTGGAACTAGAACAAATTAGGAAGTGATAGATCACCACATGGCTGGAAGTTCTCTTCCCCGATCATCTCCCCATACCCTCGCCGATGTGGCCCGGAACCGGGATGGGAGGAGAAGCTTCCGGACTCCAAATTCTTGATATGTGTGTGTGTGTCTTGTTCTTGTTGTTCTTTTTAATAATGTTTTATATACTGTGTTTAAAAGTCCGCTCCCCCCTCCCTACTTAATTAAGTAGGCGCCTACTTAATTAAGTAAGGGACTAGTAACTAGTAAGCTACTAGCTACTAGTACGCTATTCATGTGGTTCCTAGATTGTTAGGGAAACTTAACATGTTTAATCATCTTTACCTTAATTCATCTTAATGACGCATCCAAAAAAGGCTCCGACCTACTGGAGCCTTTTGATGCTTTTTTTTTCACCTTCATGGTCTGTTCTCCACCGAGGCCGCCCGGTTGCACCTCGGAGCGTCGCTCCTTCTGTTTGAGCTCTGAGCCTGCCGAGTGCGGTCACGTGAAGGCCAACTCGTTGAGGCCTGATAGCGTTCAGTAGCTCCAATGTTCAGAGAACAAAAGAACAGCCAAGAAATGAAAGATCGTGTCTGAAGATCTCATTTTCTTGGAGCTGAAGATCTCATTTTCCAATGAGGTCTCCGTTTCCTCCGACTTCTTACCATGTCTGAAGAGCCAACTCAGACATGGAATCTGGATTGACTCGAAGAGGCTCCTATACAACTATACATTGTTTATCTTCCAAAGCGAAAGAGAACACCATCGACCGGTCTGCCGGTTTGCCGGAGCCTTGGTGGAGAGGTCGGTGCTTCCTGGAAACGAAGGAACAGGTCGAGCGCAGAAAATGCCATGCCGTCTTGGGCGGAGCAGGAGCAGAATTGGTCGTGTTTGGGATGTGACATGATGCGAACTGATGCGATCTATAGATGATCTTAGTGGAAACTAATTACCTCAATGTGAGTAGAGCTCACCGGAAACGGATATTGGGATATGTGACAGGGTGAGTAGAGCTGGTGTGGTTTCTCGTCGACGAATGGTGCAATATGAGGACACTCAAGCACCAGCATCGTGTGATTGCGATGTCCAAACACTGACTCGCACAGTTTCTCTGGAAAAGACTGTCCGATGTCCAAACAAACAAACTTTACGATCACAGGTGATCGACGTATTTGCTGGGTAGGTCAGGGGAGGCGTAGGGTTTGGCACCCTTGCATAGTCAACTCCCTTAGTTTTTCGCTTCGGGGCTGATGGGGCACAGGAGTCATGAAGCTCGAAGAAGTCTGTCCAGCTCCGCCCACCCGAAGCATGGGAGAAGTTCTGACCCTGACCCTGACCCTCACATTCCATGAGGTCTGTGTTTTAAAAGTATCATTGTATATCATTAGTAACTATCATGATCCCAGTTGACAAAACCCATAGACAAGACGTCAAGATGTCAAGCACAAACAAGCAAAAAACAAGCACAATGATCCTTTCACGATTGATGATCCTTTCACGATCTCCCTCACACTCGACGTGCTTCGACGTCCGAGAAGTCGTTGGCCTCCATGCGTGAGGCACCTCGACGGCACTGACCCTCGTCCCACTGTGCTGAACGGGCCAAAACACATGCGGAGGAGGGGGGGGCGGGCTGCGGCAAAGCAGCCTTCATGGGTGGTCTTCCTTTGGGCCAAAGGGAAGACAGTCGACTCACTGGAATCCCAAAATGATCTTCAGGTTATTGCAAGTCAATAGACTGAAAGGTGGGGATCATTCCTGCAGAGGTCACTGCTTGGAAAAAAAGCCATGTGCTGCCAGGCCATTTTTCCAGATCCTCTTACTCTGCCCAAAGGCAAACCCCCGAACAAGGGATTAAGACTTGTCTTGTTGTGAAATTGGAGAACCATCCCCTTTCAACCTATCACCAAGTGTTTAGACCAAATTTTGTAAATTTGCAAAGTATAATCAACTCAAACATCAGCATAATCGACATCATGTCCAATCTCCCACTGTCCTGATCTGAACAGGTCGCACAAGGAGATTGTTGAATCATGGGAATGCGATTCATATTCATTCCCTTAAGTCCTTTCGGAAAAGCGGAAAAGCTTCAGAAACGACGGAAAGGCCAAAAGTGGCAAGCCAGTGGTAACCCTGAAAGGGGTCGCACCCTCGGTCCGCACCTTCGCTCCGCCACCCTCCTGTGGTGCTCGGATCCGCTCCGCGTTTTGGCCACTCCGCATGTTCACCCACACAGACGGGCACCAAACATTAGCAAAGCGATCAAAACGAGGTCCAGCATGGCTACCGGTGAAGGCAAACACGAGAAGAAACGAGCGTCACTCGCATCCAAGAGGAATTGTGACCGAGGGAAGATGGAGCTTTCAGGGGACGAACGTTTAGACCTTGGCGCTGCTGATGCTTTAAGGTACAGCTGCACAGCTTCTTTGTAAGGGATCTGGATGGAGACTGAGGACCAATATCCATAGGATGAGGAGGAGACTCATCGATCCAAAAGTCTTTCTGCCTGTAGCCTAAAGATCTTCATGATCGGGCGATCCCAGATAAATCCAAACCAAAACAAATACATTGTTTAGGCGTTTCCAACCAGAAATACTCTGTCTGGGTTGTAAAGGCTAGTGTCTCATGAATGTGACTGTGTTTCAAGACACACAAAGCTATACTGGCTAGCTCGGGCTCAGAGTGAACTCTTCCGACGGCACCCGGCATCTTGGAATAGATGAGGCACCTGCCATACACCCTCGCTGTCAGCGCCCTGCCCTTCTTGGGCTAGACTGCTTTGTCATTAACTGTTGCAAATCATCGATGCGGCGGGAAAGGCCAGCGATCTCAGACACCAACCTCGCCCCGATGGATCGGATCGAGCAATCGCCTGTGCCAGACCGCTAGTTAGTACCATGACATAGGTAAAGGGACAAGAAGGGATGAGCAAGAGTTACAATCCGACATAGACCCCAAAAGTCCTTGGTAGATCGCTGTTGCTATGGGTGTATATATGTGCACGTATATTAAAATAGGGAGAACCCCGGACTCTTTTCAGGAACGTCGACGATATATCTGGCTGTGAGTCACGGCACCCGTATCCCCTTCACCGGGATAGGTTGACCTCCGTACTCCGGTGCACCGCCATGACCGGGCAATGGCAAACCACCCTTCAGGACATCCTGACGCGCGTGATCATCTTCGAAAGCAAAGCCCCAACGGAATGGATGGAACCAGCTGCAAATCTTGGAATTCAACCTTCAGTCAAACGAAACACCTTTGAGACAGGGTGGTTACGGATCCTTGTTGGTAATCGAGAAAGCCAAGAGGGAGCCTGTATTTCAATACAGCCATACCAGCGAGAGGACCCACATCTCAAGTCCATGTGGGACCCACCAATGGAGAGGCCTACAACTCACCATTTTGCAGGATCCCGCAGGTTTCTGTCAATGTCTTCTGAACAACGCAAACACACCAATGGATTTAAATTTGGAGTGCCCACACACATACCAAAAAAATTGGGAATAGCGCACTCTGGCTGTGATGGAGCCTCTCAGAGCGCGCGGATGTTCCTCAACTCTTGACCACTCAAACGTGGCGCCGGAGGCGCGTACTGTTCGATGTAAACAGTAAAAAACCACAGCGAAGCAAGGACTCTCAAAGGATCATATGATTATATAACTATGGGGAGATCCCCAACCAATTGCTTTTTTATGGGTTTTGGTGTATTTGTTCATTCTTCCAGAAATAAACTACACACCCTCTAAACTGAAAAATGGGATGTGATGGGGTCGGAAGTTCCGCTTTTACTTGGGAGATTCTTGAAAAACCCTCGTGACCCTAAGATACCCTTGTTGGGCATGGAAACTATGGCCCTGGTACCCGAGACAACACAAGGCGCACGAGAAACGACCCGTTTAGCGACCAAGCGACTGTTCTTCGAGGGAACCGCCCGCCACCAAAAGCCCTGGCAGGACCACGGCCGTGGAGTATGCCGTGGCGACCGTGCAGGTACGCTGCAGGTGTTCAGTCTGAAGTTGGACATCTCCCAAACTCCTAAACCTTCCCTATCCGGACTCGAAGAATGGGCAGACTCACGGCCATGGATGACAACGATAGAAGAACCATGAAGGGCGCGCTTTTAACGTGATGTTTTTTGAACATGTTAGTTTCCTGGTTCACACGTCTGAATTTCTGGCACTGACTCATCCTGAAAAGTGCTTTCTTCGATGCTGGATCCCCAGTGGCCGATCTGAGTTCAGTGGCCAATCCCTAGTGGCCAAGGAGTCATGGGGACCTCCAAGGTTAGTCTTGAGGAGTGATGGGGACCTCCAACTTCTTTGTGTTGCCACTACATGTCATTACTACAGCGCCACCTCCTTCCTGCTCTCAGCTAGAAGTCAACCGCTCTCGTTCAGCTTCACAGCAGAACAATCCGCGGTCGTTCAGCTCGGTCTGTGACGAACGTGTGAAACCTTCTGGTCCTCTTCGTGAAACCCAAAAAGTCCGGGCGCCGGCCCCAAAGCCCGTGTGCTGCCCGGAGTGCCCTTCGGTAGTAACCGAAGGTTTTTTGAGGGGCTGACGCCCACCAGCGAGCAGGCCCACCATCAAAGCGTGTGTATTGTCGTTGTCGGTGTTGTGGTTGTTGTCGTGGTCATTGGTGTTGCTGGTGTAGTTGTGGTGGTTGTGGTTGTGGTGGTTGTTGTTGTTGTGGTGGTGGTGGTGGCAACCAAAAACACAACATGCTGATATTGCATAGCCACTTCGGCAGCATATCTCGCACCACGAGCCATGAAAATAGCAATGTTGATGCTGTGGGGCGCCCCCGTATTTATGCTGATCCACCGGACCTCATCTCACATCACCAACATGCCTCGATGGACGCTCTCCCCAGTGGTTTGTGAGGCTTCAGACGGGTGACTGAGCGTGGTCGGCGTTGGCCTTTGGCCACGAGCAGGGCCCGCTGGCCGCCCAGCAGACCCACCATCAGAGGTTGTGCGTTATTGTTGTTGTTGTTGTTGTTGTTGGCGGTGGTGGCGGTGGTGCTGGCGGTGGCGGTGGCGGTGGTGGCGGTGGTGGTGGTGGTGTGGTTGTTGTCGTGGTCGTTGATGTTATTGTCGTCTTTATTGCTGTTGATCTTTGTCTGGAAGAGGAAAGCAAACGATTAACCAAAAGCACAAATGCTGATACTGCATACCCACTTGGGCAGCATATCTCGCACCACGAGCCCATGAAAATAGCAATGTTGATGCCGTGGGTGCACCCCGTTTTTATGCTGATCCACCGGACCTCATCTCACAAACATGCCTCGGTGCGAGAAAAGCAGCCCGAGCGGACGTGCATAGTTGGCACTTTTTGCCTTTGCTTGTGCTCTCTGGAACTTGCGCGCCTACCGAAAATAATGCGTTCTAGGGTGTTTTCTGGGTTGCGGCTTCAAGCACTTGGGCCTCTTTGCGTAGACGCATGTTGACCGGTGTAGGCCCTGAAAACCATGTGTTTTATGGTGTTTTCGGGGTTGCGGTTTTCCGGAAAGAAGCCAGGGCAGCCGTCACCGTCCACAAAGGTGACCACCGCGACGACAGCAACCAGCACCGTAACGGAAGCCCCCGTCACGCCCCTTTCCCTTCCTTCGCCCTCCTCCCTTCTCCGGCCGGCGCCCGGCTGTCAGGCGTAAGCCTTTAAATCTTTTTTCTCATGATTTCAAATCGGAAAATATTATAGGAATCTTTATAAACACCCGGGCGAGCAATAGATTCGAGAACATGTTTGAGCCACTTCGAAGTGAGACGATTCTTTCTCGGACATTTTGAATTCCCCAGTAAAAGAGTTCCTTCAGGCGAATCCAGGCGAACCTCAATCCACCAAAATGATTTAAAGGACAAGTTGGACCATCACACCTACGTACGTTGACTGTTGATGAATACCACCCTAAGACCAAAATGGTTTTACATCTCAAAAAAATTGGAAGTAAAACACTCAACAGTCAACAATCGGTTTCTTCATGCGTCTTCCCTCCGGTCCAACCCATTGTGTCGGGCCACACAACGTCTGCTGCCAGCCTTTGGCTGCCACCAGGTCTGCAGCTCTTCTCGGAAGCACCTGACCCGAAGTCAGTCTTGGGAGGCGAATAGTGCCTTCCCAACGAATCGGGTTGGCGGTTTCAACTGACTTTGAAACATAGTGTTCATATGTTTTGTATGTTTTAAAAAATAGATAATTACCAATCATACATGATAAAAATATATATATATATATATGTCTCCCTTCCGCTCCAATGAGCACGCAAGCACCCTTGTTTTCTGGGGTGCCTCAAGGTTGCTACTAGTGAGGCCAGTGCCCCAACCAGTCCAGCA